TTTATGTATGGCCACTGTTTAGCAAACTGCAAAGCCTACGTGTATATAGGGCACTAACAGTTCCACTCAAGCACCCTAAAGAAGCACATAATTTCTAGTGTGAATCGTAGGCCACGTGAACCAACGTCTGTAAATGTTCTAATAAAATGACGGTCTATTAGTGCCGAACGCAATGGATAACCGTAATTATAATATATAGTTTAATAAAACCTTCACTACTATTGGTTGGAACAGATGAATGTTAATCATATCACATAATTTACCAACAAAACCTTTTCTTACTCAGTGTACCAGTAACGCAGAGATCTTTTGTGCAACACTACTTTTTGAGCAAGCTATGTATCAAATTTGACCTCCTCCTCCACATGCGTTACCACCGCTGTTTCCTGCTTGCCATTCCATTTAACCACTGTCTAGTTGGTCTTAACGTAGGCAGCCTTCTAATCCCTTTAAGTCTGCCCACAGGAATAAACAAATATGCCAGTAAAGAAGTGGCCGATCGTAGGGTTTATTTAAGGCTGCTATATTGGAGGGCCGTACGAGAGGGCCACGGCCTCAAAAGCAGACGACGCACTTTCAGCAAATTCATTGAGCCTATGGTGTAGATTCTTTGCAGAAAGGGACAGAGTACTAGACGATACACTGGATGACAAGTGTTCACGAAATTAATGTACTGCCACGGTACTTTTTTAGGATAACCGTCATATCGAATAACCTACATACCTAAGAGGTCGGTATTGGTATTAAAAACCTTTTTGAACCGTGTGCGAAACAAATATTTGTCTCCCAAGAATGAATATGATTATCAAAAAACAATTGTGAACTGTACAGAGCCAGGATATGTGATATTTGCTAGAATTAATATCGAATATTACTTGCTATATGTCCACCAAATTAACAGTTAGACAGTTAGTCTCTATCTGCGCTGTAAATTATCACATTATTTTAACACGAAACAAATATTTTTTCCTAGACAATACCATCAGTACAGCAACAAAAACTGCTAAATTCATCGTTGAAAAGTAAGGAATTGTTCAAATATCGTCAGAATATTGTGAACTACATACGCAAAGTACGCGCGTTTTTTCAAACTAGATAGATCACCTAAGAGTGATTAACAGATTGGAAAAGAACAATGTACAAGGTATAAAAACTCTTCTCCAAAAACCAAGTGAGTAAAACAACTAAAAAAGAACCTACAGGCTATACCGAAAGAAGTTAATGTAACACATTAGATACGTTTGTCTGAATGATGGCGACGACTTCCTCTTCTCCTGCATCCAAGAAATCGGCAAGTCGGAACAATTAAGCATTTAGCAATCGTGAGGTAGATAAAACCGTTGCCAAAATTCTCAGATGTAAGGAAATTGAAACGAACTCTACTATACCAGACATCTCAGATTTGTTAAAAGGGAAGAGTTTTTTGCCATTTACCAGCAAACGTCATCAACATTTGGATTTTCAAAATAAATTTATTTAGAATGTATGTGCTATAAAATATAATCCGTGCAGAAGAACTTCCTACTCAAGCTCTTTCGAGGCAGCTTTAGCGACCGTTACAATATGTAATTTAGCACTGCCGCACAAAAGCATGACGTCTCATTGTCCTCTCACTTAGCATTGGCGTATTTCTCGGAAATAAACACATTACATTCTCTGCTCAATAAAAATCGGTCATTGCGAATGTTTATGTACTTTCATCCGGGTCATGGGGCACTCAAGCACTGAAAGTTTAATGTAATCCCATAGGTTAAAGATTAAGTGTCGTAATACATCTTCGCGGTTAATTAACAAGTTTTTACTATTCGCGATCCTCATTGAGTACGGGTGGTCTACCGAGAGATGGAAGGCAGCATTTAAGCCCAAAATACCATCTCTGATCTTGGCAAGCCACCTTGAGACAATCTTCTAAATTAAGACCTGCTGGATGTAACCCATATATATTTCGTGTTGTTTTATTAGTCTTTCAGCCTTGGCAAAGAATTAAGTGAAACACAAGAGGTGTCGAAAATAAACCTGAAACATCCGTCTTTGGATCCTGAAGCCGAAATACAATTTGGTTTACGACAAAACGAAATTACAATAGGCTCACGAATAGGAGAAAGCACCTTTAAATATTATATAAAAGTAAGAAACAGAAAAATAGAGAGAATAGAAAAACAGCTTATCACTTTTTGAATAACCTAAAACTTAAGAATGATCGGTACGTTAAAAAATTTTACCAAGTCTGATAACAAAAAATTTATAAAGATGAAAAAAACATAGAAGGACTGGATACTTTAGATGCTAAATACTTTCCTTATTCAATGGTAGTGAAAAGTGTAGGGAGTGTGCTTGTTACCTAGGCATACACGGAAGAAGCCAATTTTCAAAGGTTGACACAAACCGATTGTCTTACGATTGATGACATACAGTCTGTTGGAGTCTTTAGATTACCAGTACGGTTTCTTATCAATGAAATCCTGCAAGCAATATTTGTTAAAAATATCGATATCGAAAAAATACTTTATGAAGTGGAAGAGAGAAAACTGCTGAAGCCTGGGTACAGCCATTGAGGCAATGTAGTACTTGTGACTTTCTTGAAAACAGCACCGCATACAAGGAACACAAATTCAACGTACAAATTAAACGATCTCCCAGACAACGCCAAGCCACGTTCACTCATTGTGCCTTTTAGGAACAGCCTTTACCGGACCAACCTTATGAAGATTTCAGAATAATAGGCGACTTCCTAAAAATTGCTCGTAGCTTTTCACAGAATTAGTATTGTTGCGGTGCAATTAACGCGAATACATACTAAATGATAGCACATAATGTTCTATAGAGACCAGGATTGTTAATACTAAGGGTCGACCAATAATTTATTTTTCAAGCTTTTTCGATGTGCTTGCAACACTGCTAAGGGATAATTTTTGCAACCAAAGTAATTCGGGCAACAGAAAGATTCCTCGATAAAAATGAAAACGTCACTGCAAATATTTACTGATAGTCATATCCGGACTTTAACCCCTTGTTTTTGGAGAACTTGTTCTCGAGGTCCAAAAGGCTGGGATCGGATAGGATGGCGATGACGTTTGTACTCAAACGTGGCAGAATTTCTACCTGATTTATCAAAATTCTCCTGCTCAATAAAGCGCTGCTCAATAAATTTGTTCATACAAAATATCATTTTACTCTTCGCCTTTGCTCTCCGGACAGAAAAATGCGTCCAAGGAACTCACTTACAATACACACAGAGGACCCTAACATAAAGAAACGCGCTAAGTTCTATATTACACATGTACATAGAATACGCAGATATGGTAGTTGCTGAACTTATTTATTGATATTCCTATATGTGATTTGCAGTAAATAAGAATAAAGACTTATATAGTTTTAAAATGGCCAGACTTCTGTATATGTACGTTTTTACGGATCAAAATATTATATATATATACTAGCTAAGGAAAAACAAAATTATGTGCAATGAAAAAATAAAACAAGCCGATCGAGCTGTCAATAGAGTGTTGATTTGGCATAAGATTGCGCAACATTAAAACATTTTTTATATAATTTATGATAACATTTCAAATGGTAATAATTGTCTACATTCTCAAAGCGTACCAGCCGACCTTGAGAATGCATGTTTTTTTTACCTCACACACTTGACACGATTGCAGGTTTGCCGGCTTAGTACAAAGTTTAGTTTAGAGTCCCAACTTAAAATTAAATGCGGGTACTAGGATAAAACGGCTAAAAGCTTTATAAATCTATTTTACAGAAATTTTTAAATGGTTTTGAATGTTTTGCGTACACCTAACATAGTAAATAATCGAAGTGTGGTTTGTCTATCCTATATACATGCCAACATATCCTATCCAAAAGGAGATGCCGACTGCACAAGAAAAGATTATTTTTTGGATTAACTGTAAGTTCATTAAACATTATGAGACGTCGTCAAGGTACCGAACGAAGTAGATGTTGTCTTCTGATTAACTTTCAAGTTCTTATTTTAGTAGAAATATTGAGAATATCCAGATGAGGAACGAAGAAAACAGTTCTTTGCTCTTGCTTGAAAGCTTGTTCAAAATCATCCAACTTTTTTCCTATTGGAAGTCTTCTATCTTGGTTTTTGGTAGCCTTACTCGGATTCACTGGAAGCCTCGTAGTAACTGACCGCTGCAAAGATTGTCAATCCCGTTCCCAATTTTGAGACCTTATTCGACAATATTATAATATTTTTTTGAGTGGAAGCACAATCTCCATGGGTCAGCTATAACGATGTTTCGTCTTTTGGTGAACGCACAAGTCCTTTCCTTGCGTTTTCTAATTGCTGGCTGATTCTCTATTTTATAATCCAAAGATCGCACAAATTTGATAGCCATATCCTGTATGGTAAAATCGATAAAAACTAAGTGGAGTAAACAAAGTGTAAGACGAGCTAGCTGCAACGAGAAGTCTAGTTAAGTTCGCACACGTTATTCTGTGGCAGCAAATATAAATTTTATGAGGTACAAAAGTTTTGCCTGTAAATTGTGTGAGCCAGGGACTAGCAGAGCTTAAAGTACTATTAGGATACTTATGCAATGATTTATTCTTGGCCATGCAATTTCTAGCTTATATCTTTTAGTGTAGGAAGCGAGCTAGTACAACCGACCTTTAGCAATTCTCTAGTAGTCGATGCACTGGCCAGCCATAACCCATAGCCAAACTGTTGCAGCCTGCGCTCTTTTTAGGGTTCGGCTGTTGTCGACCCCAGCATGGTTCAGTTGCTTGTGCCGTTTAATAGCATCTCTCCCACAGGAACGTACTTAGTTGGCCGTCGAGTGAACAAAGCGTTTGCGCTAATGCTTGCTTACTTGGCCTTTTCGAAAAAGTCGAGCAGCATTCTATGTACGCGTTGTATTTAGATCGCCAGAACTCAGACGAGAGTTAAGAAGCTTCATATAGCGGCGAAGCGAGTGTTCAGCAAGGTCGAGAGGTTGGCAACGCTGTCTGCTAAGTCGCACATGCTCAGGGACTGTATAAGCAACCGTTAGCTCGCGATGTTTTAACATCTGAGATCGTTCAGTTCAAATCACATCACTTCCTCACTGCCTTTCGCTCTCTGTATGTGGCCTGAAGTAGGTACGTTAAACAAAGAAATAGTGGCATTAAGATATACGTCTTACGTGTTTTCGTCTGTGTAGGTGAGCAACGCCTTCTCATTATACGTGAAACCATAAATATGCGATAAAGTGTTGTCCGGCGATAGTGCAATTTTCGCTGATTAGAAAATCTATAACACTAGCAACGAAAATTATAGAACGCATTTGAGTTGCGCAATTCGTTGCTTTGTTTTAGTGTACGAAAAGGTATCAGCTGATTATAAACGATAAGTGTGATTCAAAGTACTCTTCCATGGAACTTCGTCAGATAAACAGTTCTTTGGAACTCTATTGATATATTACTATCCACACAACCAAAACAGGAGCCGATTTGAAAAGGATGTAAATACATATTTTTTTACGTTTTGGAACTCATTTGGAGAACAGTTTTGTATGACGACGCTTCAAAAAATGTGCTATAGTGAATTTTAACTATCGCTAGGGACGGTTTGGTTTATAAGAAAATAAATTATACACAAGGAGCGTTTTTGCAAGTTTACAAGTGCAGTTAAGTGTTGACCTAGAGCGTCTCCGTACCAAATAATGTGTAAAATTATTTTTTGGGCTTTATACCATTTTCGAAACTTAATATAAGCTGTTTTTTTGTAGCTTCTCTGAAAGAGGCGCGAAGCCCACCTTTTTAAAGCTCTTAATTTTTAGCAAAAACTGCCTCACATTTCTTTCTAGAATTAATAATTTTCTAGTTATTAGGAATTTTGAAATTTAGCATGCTTAGCTTAGGTTTGGCTGCAAATGTACCAAGGTGTGTTCATCGTGGTACGCTTACTACGGCTATGTTTGGCAGCTTTTGTAATTACGTACCACAGTAATCAAAATATCGGCTAAAGCTCTTCGTTTCAAATTCCGGTGCCGGCACATTTGTTCTTTTATTTTACATTGTACACATAAAGTTCATAAATATATTTCAACAAAATGCTTTAGCTGTAACCTCCTTTCAAATTTTCCTTTCGCAGTTCTTGATAGCACAAATGTTATGTTAGACTTTAGTTCGATCGCGTCCCATAAATGGTCTGCCAACAGGCTGAATTCTGGACTATTCGGCAGCCACGTATGTTTTTTAGAGCACGCCAATATTCGTAAATGCATTCGCTTGCTAATATGAACCAGTGCACAATTTTCCTAGACGTCACATGATCGTGCTTGAGATACTTTAGCTATCCACGATCGTGCAACAGTTTATAGAATATGAAAATTAATATTTTGGTGCCTTTGTGGTGTCACGATGTTTTCGTCACTGGACCCACCTTCAGAACAGGGCTGAATAGTTGATTTGAACACACAAACACACCCTCTAAATTATGAGCTAGTCGTCAGATCGTTTCTGAGGTAATTTAATCTAGAAAGAAAAGAACTGAGCACCAAACGACACTGATCAAATGTTTTGGCCGTATTATCTCTGGAGAACATCAGTCCGACGTCTATCACATATGACACGTACTTCGTGAGCAATCTGTGACATCTTGTCTGTACCCATATGACACTTCTGCGCTGATCGAAGCAGAACAACTTTGTCCATCACCTTTGGATAGCGTCAATAAACTCTGGTGCGCACATTGTTATTTGTACGCCGTAGTGTTCCGTCGAGCTGTATTGAAACCTTTTGTCGGACGGCACGTTTTCAATAATGTACACTAATGATTTTACGTAAGCTTATTATATGGACGGAGATTCACAGCTTATACTCGGATGCCTATAGTAAGACGTAACTATAACAAAATATTATAAAGTTTACATTCATTTGACGGTTAAAAGGTTTTTTGACGGACTAAAGAAATTATATTTTGAAAATGACTCGTTTAAGCTCCGAAACTAAAGTGCAGTCACGGTGGATGATAGCTATATTGAATAAACTGGATTGCCAGGAATGACGCTTAGTATATGCAAAATAGTTCGTTAAGATTTTTGTACTTTTCTAGATATAGTCTTATAAACAACTATAAAAATATATTCCAAACTTAGATAAAACACGCGGTAAATACTGGGTCATCAAACAAGTATTTATTGTTTTTTGGGTAGATTGCAGGCACTAGCGTTGGTAATGTTTGAAAGCTATAATCTGACAGTAGTTTGAATGCGCTGATTTAGATTCATGGTAAAGTGCCTTGAAGATAGGTGAAATTTACGCGAAGATTTGTCACATTTATTTTTGTATTTCATTATGATAAAGGCTAGGCAGGCCAGTAAATAAATTTGTACTGCTCATGGTCAAGATGCGTCATCGAAAGAATTTTGTTCTGGAAATTTGAAGGGTGCTTATCATAACGGTCGATTAGTTACAAAAAAAATTGATGAAATTATCGTGACAGACCGGCATAGGGGTGACCATGACATTGCCAAGAAACTAAGCATTTGATATCAAATAGTTTTAGCCTATTCCACTTAAAAAAAGCTGGCTATAAAAAGATGCTTGATATCAGACGAATGGACGCAGAAAATGTTCGATGATATTTCCATTGGCAAAATGCTACGGAAGCGTCACGAAATCAAGACATTTACAGTTGACCACGGATGATCAAAAGTGAATCATATGCAGCAGTAGGTACCTCTCTACAGTAGGTAAACAAAATTAGACTAACGCCAAAGAACGTGATGCACTTAGTCTGGCTGGAAAGGAATCGAGCGTTATGAGCTATTTTTACCTGGCAAAACGATTGATTCCGACCTCTAATATCAGCAACTACCACCGATTGAAAAAAGAATCGACCTAAGCTAGTGAATAGAAGCGACGTCATCTTTCACCAAGGACAATGTCATGTTACGTACATCTTTTGAAAACCGGCAAAAATTGAAAAAGCGTGGATGGAAAACTTGAATGCATCTGTCCTGTAGTTCAGGTCCTCACCACCAAACTATGATCTATTTAGATCTCCGTAGAGTTTAATGGTATTTCTTTTCAACTGAGGGATGCAACCATTTTTCTGCCACAGTTTCGCTCAAAAACTTCTGAAGTCTTACAATGATAAGATTATGGCCTGGCCAAAAAAGTGGCAGAAGATCATCGGTGAAAACTGTGCATATTTAGTTTAGTAATACTGTTTTAGAGTATGAAAAAGTATTTGCTTCAATTTTGGCTTAAAAGTCGTCAATAATCTCGATCACCTAATTAACACAGTGAAATGGGGAAGGCAAACCAGCTATAATTCGACCAACTAGGGCTCTATGGCCCTAGACTCTACGGAAATTCTTCTGTAGCATGGACATAAAAGATAAGTTACTTAGAACAAGCAATGGCAAATATTAACCACACTGGTTCGGCTGAATAATATATTAGTGCTTAATATATATGCTATATTAATGGTTTTAATGCGTTAGGAGAGAAACTCTCAGATAGGCAAAATAGATAAATAAATTAAGCAAAATTCAAATTGATTGACCACCTTACCTTACGATTACATTCCAGTTATCTATAACTGTATTCAGATCTCGCAGAAAAAATATTCCTAGAACAATGTAAAATACGAATTATTATTATTAACGTATTATGTATGCCCTGGAATGGCTATTTTATTGATATATCGGCTCTCAGAAGGCAAATAATAGTTTTGAGGTGTACCTGGGAATGGTGTAGAAAGAACTGAATACTATATTGGAACGCAGTATATATCAGCTTTAGAAAAGTTGAAAAGGCTAGCAGCTCATCAGAAACGACATTTTTTAGTAGACGTGCAGCCTGATCTTAATAATAATAATTTACTTGTAGTTGCTTAGGCGTAATTACAAAGATTATACAACATTCGAGTGCAATTGTTTTTATATTCACTTCATAGATTTAATTCCCATAGAAGGAATAAAATGAGAACGCTCTTGAATCATAATAGTGTGTTGTCGTTTTGGAAAAATTTTGTCTGTTCTTGATCACATCGAAAGCCAATGGAGAAATAGGCAGTCGCGGCCCTAAGCTACATCATAGAGGGTACAGCAGAATGATGATCTTACGGTACACTAGGGTGTCCAGAGCACAAGCAGTATGGCATATTGAATGCGACGGAAGCAGTGGCAAAGCGCTAAAAATAAATTGCCAAGCAGCAAATATTTCATAAATAATACTAATAGTCTTTGAGTAAAGACATATTACTTAATGTATATGATATTGAGCTGTGTGTGTATATATATTTAAACGTACGCTATCTTGAGGTGAAAATGTCAACCGTCAAAATCCCGTTGACGGTACACCTAAAAATATAAGCCATATTTTCATACTTACAGGTAATTAACAAGGTACTAGATAGTATAAGTATAAAAAAGCAATACAATATAAAAAAGGTTTAGGTTGTAACGTAAAGTTGCGTCATAACTGTATTATTGAGAAGACGTGTTGATAATTTATAAAATGACTGTGAGCCTGCAGAGAATTTGTTTTTTGAGTGCAGCTCCTTTAAATAGTAGTACACGATCCGATAAGGGTCATAGCTAAGGAGCGGTCAGCGATAGAAACTTCGATGACTTACGTTCGTTATCAGACGCAACAGTCGTCATATGAATATATTTTTATACGTGACGCTGTGGTATCATGGTATGCCATTGTGGTGTTCTCACAATAATGGTGAATGACCCGTAGAACAGACGATACAAATTTTCTTAAGCCTATGTAAAATGTAAGCACAATTCGGTGAAGCAAGAAAAAGGGACGAGCAGACGAGTATGATGAATTAGAACTTCATGAAGGAGAGAGTCATCAAAGACAACGCGAGGCGTGGTGATGCAAACAGTTTTGAAAGTATACAACGTCGAAGTATCGTTTTTTGAACACTCTTCTTTCTTTTTAAACTCTTGAACGCTTTTGAACCCTTTTCTTGGAAAATAGAATAATCAAAAGATTAACTTGATATAAAATATTATCCAAATTTTCGACTGCTGTTGGTCACGGTGAGCACTGATGTTAGGATCATTCGCCGTTAAAGATTATACACATACAGACAGCGAAAACTATTGAGCCATCATAATGTAATGAAAAAACGTTGTTGAAGCTCTGATCTCTTAGAATAGGTACCCAGACCTTTTTTTTTTTACCTAAAAGTCATTGGTAATGAATAACCTAAAGGTACTCCAAGGCTCTGTGACAGGGTGCTACATCGTGCGTGAAGATCTAGTCAACGTCGGGAAACCATTCCCACACCTAAAGCAGCATCTTGCCTTCGATAACTCTAGCATTTTTCTACTGCTTTAATGTTCCCTGCGTGGAATACATCGTCCCAATGCCCTTGCCAGAAATCATAGTCCATATCATAACTTTTTATGGATATTCTATTTTCGGCATGACGTGGTTTTCGATAAATGACTCGCCAACATATTTGAAAGCATGGTGGATGCTCTTTCCAAGAGATTCGCCTGAACACTGGACTTCTTCCCAGTCTTCAACGGTCTAATCTTGAGCGTTGTCTCATGATTTGGTTCGCTCAACGGAGACAAGCTCGTTCTATTCAAGCATTCAACTGAAGATTCTTGGCAGGTCTACTGCTTTTTAACCCAGCCTCTTTGAATCAGTGACAAAGCGTAATTTTCGATACCCATGCTTCTTTTATCTTTTTTGGAAGACGTCATACAAGACGAATCTAAGTTTTTATAAATTCATTTATAAATAATTACACGGTCCTCCTGCTTCGTAGTATATCTTTTTCAAATTACGCAATTGTGGCGACTGCATTATAAAAAAAAACAACACGTTTCAGCAGCGTTTTAACGTTTGATTTAATGAAATAATCTGCTAATCAGCACTTTGTGCTCCTCAATATTATTTGTACTTCCTCCTATTTCGGCACTTTACCCTCGAAAACACGCAAAATCGCTAGAAAACCCACAATTTAGTGATTCAGTGCTGACAACAACCAGGTTAAATGGTGTGATAGAACGTGTCGGCTATACATAGCACGAGATATTGGCACGAAATATTAGTACTAGACTAGTTGAAACTCACTATCACGGCTGTGACTACCAACTACGATACGTTAGTTTTATACAGCATACCGCCTGTCAGCATTCTAAAAACAACGCTTGACTAATTCTGCAACAACATGCAGGGTACCGATGTAAAGTAGAATGATGCTGCTGTCATAAGCCAAACATCATTTGAATATATCTCGTTTAGTGCTTCGCAAGCCTGCGGCCCATTTAACTTTCTTTCTAAAGCTCTTATTAGTTTCTCTGTTTGTCTAGGTCGACCCCGTGATATCGTCGGGTTATGCCGGCATGAGCTGACTTTTTCCCTGAGAAAGTTGTTTTTCTTGTAAAGCATATTGTTAATTTGCGAGTTGATCTTTTTTTCAAAATTGCTATATAACCGTTAAAAATTTTCCAAAAATGCATATTGTAAAACTAGTTTTTTATTGAGCTTGACAGAATGAGCACGACATGCAATTTGGAACTAATTTTTCGCGTTTTCGTATTTTTACTATCGAGTGGTAAAGGGTAGTTTTTGCCGAGATGCTTCGTCATCACGATCCACTTTGTGTGGGAAAATTTTTTAAGTCAGCTTTTTTCTCTTCTAGAAAAGCATAATGGTAGTTTCGTTGATTTTCGAGACGGTTTATAAAATGTGGACTATCTCGGCATGTACGGTTTGTATTTCTTGACACTCCTTTCCAGAAGGGCTCCTTTAGACTATAATGTTGCTTTACTTTACTAAAAGCTATATTAAAAGAATGTTTGTTTTTCAACCTTCAAAACGGACTTAACATTTAGTCAGGGAGCAACTTTTGATTTTACACTTTCTCGCGATTTAGTGGTAAAATCATAATTTTTGTTGAAATGGTTAGTAATACATAAATACGACCCGTATTCTGGTCATTTTTTTTAAATTGGATAAGTATTTCTGTGACTGAACTTTTTCTCCCGTAAAAAGATGCTATGCTAATTTGATAATCTCCAAAATGATTTATGAGATATAAGCCGTTTGAATATATGGCTTAAATTCGTCAATTAAATCCACAGTTTTCCCAGAGGCCATTATTAATAGAAAAAGGGGAAAGGTTTAGGTATAACAGAGTATCGATGATACAACAATGTTCCAGTAGGAAAGCGGGAACAAACGTAAAAGAGTAGTGGCTCTGGGTTACGTAAGGTGTCAAATAGGCGCAACGTACACGGCCGAAAATTAACTTTACAAGTGCAAATGAAATGAAATTCATTTGGGTTAATTGAACTAGAGTTTAGTAATTCTATCGAACAGGAGGAATGAGACAGTACATGAATTGATTATTTGCAAAATAATAGCGAAGCTATTGAGACGTATATTTCAGGGTAGCCAATCATTAGCATAGGATAACTGCACTATAGCGACAGGGCCACTGACAAAAAATAAAATCAAGATATATGATTACTATAACTGGATAGTTAGAATAGGACAAGAGGTTTAATACTACAGGACCTTAGAAGCTGCAATCGGACGCTAATAAAGATGTCGGTCTGTAATCTGATAGTAATTTATTTGTAATAAATGTTACGTCTAAATAGGGGAAGAGGGTGAGGGGATGACTGTGTTGCATAAGGTTCATCAAAGAGAACTGGATTTAACGAGAGAATTGAATATATGGAAAGGAAGGTGGATCAAATTTGTTCATATCAGAATGGGCTGATGTATTACTGCAAAAAAAGTAAAGGGTTAGATGGGGCAAAATAATTGGTAATATTTTTGGAAACTAGGTTGGTGTAACATTGACTAATCTAATTAAATTAAAGTACGCATAAGGCGAACTCTACGTGCCCGTCTAATACGTTGTAGAAAGTCGTGGCCTGTATCACCGCTTGAAGAAATATATCAAATACTATTGGTTTGCCCTATGAGAATAGATGTTTGAATTATCTCGAACAATCCCTAGCTTTAGTCTACAACACTGTGATTTAGGTGCATCACAAAATCTAGTTCTTGTAAATTTCGCTTATAAAATAGAATACTTGCTGAAAGCTTATGATCGCCGAAGCACTGCCTGATTGCGTTCTTTTAGTGAACAATCCTAACAGACCATTCCCTTCACAAATAGTGCGACCCCCCTAGATACTACTGCTGCTGTTATTCGATTGGTTTCTTTTTGAAGGGCTACAACCTTCTGACACATCGGAAAAAATCGCAGGTTGCAAACGGCTGCGGGCTAGTAAACAATATAGTTTAGCGGACTGAAGGGCAAGATCAGCTTTAATAATTGTCTGCTGAAATAAAAGCATTCATTCAGGTGAACCACCCCCTTACCCATGTCGTTTTCTGATGGAGTTAACTATTTCCTTTAACGTATATAGTAGTGCCCTTAGTACTGTTGACTTCCGTAGTTTGGTATATCAACATGATTCATATTAATTACTATTCGACTGATAACCTTATCACATTACTACTTGTTTGTTTCGTAACGTAAGAAAAAAGTAACCATATTACTTTGTTCCAAATGCTTGCTGAAATGGAAAAGCGGTGACTCGTTTTGGAATTAATTTGGCTTTCCCACAAAATTTATCGTAGTCTTAATTGCCTCAGTCGGTATTTACGGCTTTGCTACACGCAACTAACTCTTTGCAATTAATACTAAATCATTGTTCGACCATCGTTTGTTGGATAACTAGCAGTTGTTTATCGATCCACAAAATTACATAGGCCTGTTACCAACCAATGCCCTCAATCGGGATCGTTGTTTAGACCAGATTCTCATCTTCAGTAGCAAAAGATGATCTGCAACATCGCGATTAAAAAAAACTAGATTACTGTGTTGGAATAATAACAAACTACAACCACTTTCTTTGAATATGTCAGGATTCAGCTTATGCCGCAGGAAATAACTCCAAGCCAAAGCCGCTAGGCAATGGATTCGTATTTTTATCGTTTATTTATAATAAAAGGATGGACAATTTTCTCACATTAATAACGGTGCTGTTATTACACGGTACGCATTGTCGCCTTGCGATGACGAGGCTCTGCTAATGTTTCTGTTACAATACTGTTATAAAACGTTGCACTATTAGTCCTATAAATTTTGTTTCTGTCGGGATAGTCGTCTAGTACATTTGGCTGCGTAATAGGTTGTAAACACAACAAGTATAGCCTTTACTGCATGGAAGGTATGTAAATGGCTGTTAGCAGACATATTGTTAACTAAAGTAAGTCTTTACACATAATATATTTGCGAACTTCCAGGTTTTTTAAGCGCTCGTGCTAACGTCTTTGCGGAAATAAATTCCAAGTTGTCTTCGATCACCAGTGTCTACCTCAGTTGATTTGAAACGCAACCAGTATGCCACATCGACCCGGACCTAATCAGGTAAATTGGTTCTAATTCCCACTACATCTAATACAAAAATATGTACTAACGAAGCCGTTATCATTTGCCGTTGTTATTACGCCTAAACATTAATATGACATGTTAATATAGCTATGAAAATAATTAATACGCCTTTCACTTTTATTGAAATCTAGGTACTCCTAGCTAGTAAAAATTCATACTATAAAATGCAACAGTTAAATCTATGGAAGACTTTTTCCCAAATTTAAAATATTGTCAACAATTTATTGCGGCTTTTTTTTGTATAAAAGAAAGTTCGTCTCGAGCTTTTAGAAAACAGCGTTGTGTATGTTGGTTGCTCCTATTATGTGATAGAAATTTCGCGTTTTTAAAAGGCAACTCATTTGCTTTAGGTTCAAAGAACAAAATATTATCCTAACATTAACTTTTGCAAACCCCGCTGCAAAAAAGTCTTAGCTTCGTTCTTACGTTTTTTGCATTTTTAAAAACATTTGGAGTCATTGAAATATATTGAAATAATAAATATTGAAAGAATACTCGATCGATGATTCGGGATTTTGAGTTCACCGGCGAATCAGAGTTAGGTTAGCATTGATGAGTCCCTTCAAACGAAGTATTCGATCAAAAATTGAAAATCTACAAGTCTGTTATTTATGCCGCACCTTTGAAAGAATGAGTTCCATAGAATATAGTGAAACTGCATCATAATTTCCTTTTTAAGAACTACGACCCGTTACATCATCACGTGATGCTTCTGGATCATACTAATGAAATAGTGAAACAGTCGGGTAGCCTACAAAGTACAAAATTTCGATTGCTACAGAAAAATCAGGGGGCTAAGATGAATAAAATGACTCGTATTACACAACACATGTGAATAAAAGAACTTCCCTGTTACAGTTTAGATAGCAAAATAAGACAGCAGTTTTAAGCGCTAAAGGGATTTCATGCATCAAATAATCTATCATAATATCTTAAAGTTTAACATGAGTGAGAGTAATTATATATATATATATATATATATATATCATACATAATCATACCAAAATATATGAAAGTCGTACTTCTTTTACTCATCTTGTGGCTCCTATTTTCTATTTGGTAAGTCAGATTTCATGTGGTCTATAAAGTAATTTTTTGTAATAATAAAATCGGTGTACAGGTCACATTTTAGGTACACTATGTACCGCTTTTTGACATATGACTCAGCGATTCTCGAAAACGACATGAGTTTTTGTTTAGCTTACGGGCCTTGCTTTTTGGTCACGTTTACGTTAAATCAAGTATTCCGAAGTTACCGTATTGCATAAAACGTAACACTTAGTACTCGTTGGCCACGTTCTCATTCCTACACACCTTATGGTAAAATCCATCTTTACTATATCGCTTTAACCGATACTATAATATGAAGTAGATACATGAACCAATTGCGCGTTGATAACTTAAGCACATTTTTGGTTTACTTTTTCAATCGCGCACAAACAGTAATTTCTCCTTAGAAGCTGTATTCTATATCATCTAGCCGGGGCTACCTTCACAGAGCTCCGTAGAGCACAAACCGTTACAGATTGGATGGAGAGCGTCCGGCTTTTTAAGAGGTTAGAGCAAACGCATTTATATACGGAAACAATTCCCCCAAATGGTCTATGTATAGCTTAAGCATGGTACTCGCTTTTTGTATTAGAAAAAAACACTAGGTAGTTTTTTAAAAACAACTTCTGCTTTCCAGGGCTGGTTGCTATGAAAGTTCTTAAATTTGTTTATATTGCATGAAAACTTTTGGTACCGTACTCTCGCTCTCCCAAACCCACGGAAGCTGCCAAATTTTGCGCTAATCACTGTTTTCGCCCTGTTCCTTTATGGAACGCTTTCGAAAACGGTTATTTTGTGACTATTCATAAAATAAGCATATTGTTGTTTCTGCCTTATCTTAACCATGTAGGTCCGGTACCGGACATGCCCGGACGTTACTTGAGTTGCCATGTAACTAGTGCTATGTAGCTACATGGTAATACATGTCATCCAACATTATTTTATAATAATACGACATGTCGCGGTACTTGTTAATTATTGAGATACACTTGTTGCCTTTAAAATCTGAGGTCGTTTACCCAGATATCGTCCTTTAGTGTGCCATAGGAAAATAGAAAATTTGAGTAGTTTGAATAAGCCCTAGTTTATAGAAATAAGTTCAGTGTAGAATTGTTAGGGGTGACGGGGTGTCATCTTTACATCAACATAAACTGGGAATCGGAAAGGATGGCTCTATGAGGGAAGATGGGATCAGCGCCTAATCGAACCTTCATGCAAAAACTGAATCCTTTGCGTTTGGTGAAAATGCAAAAGCCTGATTCTTACGTATGTCGCGTAAGGGCAGCATGGACCGAGTATTATCGTAAAGAATATAAACAATAAACATGTGATAGTTCAGATATGGTTTGGATATAAAAGTCTCCGACGGCCTTATACTATAAAATAATTTCGTATAGAAGAAAGACCAACTTTGCTTTAGTGATGCACTAAACCTCAAATAGCAACCATTCTTAGAGATCGTATGGATCTTACCGATACCTACAGATATTTTGCTGGCAGTTTCTTGCCATTTATGCCGCAGACGATTCTCGTCGAACTCATGTATATTGTCTTATTGCGTTCTCCAATTGTGTTTTTCATTTCTTCAGGAATGTTGACCTTAGATACCATCTATCCGGCAAATCATCAAGCTGTCACCGATTATTATATCACCGCCTTCGCTTTTAGACTTATACTCGACCTTTCGCCTTATCACGTTCTAAATGAAAAAATTGTGGTATATACCGTACACTTCTCCGGAGCCACGAAGCATACATGTCTTAATCATTGCCACTTCGATCTTTAACATTTTTCATCGTCCGCTGACGTCAACTTTGCTACGTTCTGCCTGAATCTTCCAAGGCTCTGTTACACCATGTCGAGATGCTCGGTGTCAAAAAACGTTTATCCGACAAGCCGTCGGTTTTCCAAGTCTATACTGATTTATGTCTTTGTTTTGAAACATCTATGCCCCCTTTTCTGCCTTGTTGTTTTTAGGGCTTAAAAATAGATTACTGTGTTATCAACCTGGTCTGCTTCTGTAGAGTCACATAGGGCACGTCAATCATCGCTTTTCCGAACTCTACCATAAACGTTTGGAATTGACTATTCCCAGTTGGTATATACAGGCGCCATGTAGCCGTTTTGTGGCGTTATTGAAAATCGGGCCTATTTCTGCGTTCATGCGTATCATAACGTTTTTGAAACATTTAAGAGATATACGTTTTCGCTTTCAATAGTGTCAGAATTCTATACATATAGAGTTGTGCTTATTTACAGCTAGTGTGCCCCATGGTAGCATTCTAGGGCAGTGGTATCTGTATTATTCTATTCTGTATGCCCGGATTACTAATTGTTGCTGTCCTTTGGCCAAAACAGACCAGAACCCAGGACCATATCCGCTTATATCGAAGTGCATACATCGTTACCGGTTTCGTTAGTGAGTTAAGCAACCGTTTTATACCTTCCAGTCTCTTCATTCTTAGTATAATGAACCCTAGTTTGGAGCTTTCGTCGCTTTGCTAGCCACTCTCAAATGTAATGCCCGTAAATATAGTGTTTAGTACTACTATAGAATAAGATTTTCTTCTCCTGTATAGCAGTAAGCTTTCCAATGCCTTGGTTTACGCTTTTGCACCGTTTTTTATTATCAAGCTGTTAGGAAAATGATGACTGTATTTATTTTTTGATAGCGAAGTTTGACATATTGTTAGAAAGTCCTTTACTCTTCAAATTTGTTGTCAACGTCTTGTCCACAATCACTTCCTCGCTAAAGGATTGCTAAAGGAAAAAGAAATGCATCAGGGCGAACACATCAACTGGTGAGGTTGTCTTGCTATCCTTGACATTGCTTGACGCAAGAAGGAAACTGGTCTTATGGTGTCTCAGTCCAAAAACTTCTCTTCCCACCCGATGATGAAGCCCAATTGGTCCACCTCAGGACCGCTTTTCGGAGAATCTGCCCTTTGTAAGAACACAGCTATCTGGAGCTGTGGAAAACTTTTATTTTGGAGAAGGCAAAACGCCATGCCATTAAACACTCTCTCACCAAAAACTGCCGCCTTGTATTGTTATATCGGTCATATTAGAGCACTTTGGGTAGGTTCGGGCCGAGCGATTCTAATCCAAAAGAAGCGCCGATCATGCCAATGTGGGTCAAGACCATACCTTACGGATAAAGAAATATGGAGAACACACACTGCCTTCAGGAGAGTACTTTCTACAAGCAAAAAGAAGCTTGATCAATTTCTGGAGGCTATGGCGGTAATTTAGAGAAGACATCACGGTTTTAGACGGAGCCGCTCCATCCTGACAATGTGCTCAACTGCGCTAGGGATCCTGGCAGAGACAGACGTGTCACAATATATCTTAAGTACTTAAATAAACAATTTTAAAGCAAAAATCAATTACGGCGTGGCAAAGGTGTCTTAGTTCTAACAAACCGGTGTAGTTAGAGGGAGAAACCCTCAGCCCATTGTTGCCCGTTTTATCTCGCTAAAAAACATGTATGCCACGATTCGGGGGTAGATCATGGTCAAGGTCATCTTATGCGACGGTCTAGTCATCCATGGTTGTAGCCGATTCTTGGTACAGCGTACTTTGATCGTCACGCATAAGGCTTCTGGCGAACTTATGGCGAATATTGATGAAAGTAAAATTAAACGAAGAAGGAATATACGTATATATGTATGTATATACATATATAGTGGTCTGCTCCTAAATGCCAAAGGCATTTGCTTCAAGGCTTGCGTCGCCGAAAAGTGTCGAAAGGCGTTCGTCCCACTGGCTGCGACCAGAGACCTTCCCCTTCTATTAATCTTACCTGTATTACGCCTTTTCGATTCGAAAGTAAAATTAATGGCATTCTAAGGAGTGAAGATTATCAAGAAAAAACTAGATCAGTCAAGTTTCGAGCTCTTAAATAATTTAAAAACATCCAGTCTGAAATGCATTCAGCCTTCTATTGTTTAAATCGAAGCAGCATTGTAATGACCCTGTGTACCGGCACAATCAAAGAGGGTACCTATTTCGCAATTAATATTCTGCATCCTTTATTGGGACACTAGAAAAGGCGGTCTATAAAAATAACAGATACGCATATGAAGAAGATATATTTGATTTCGCAAAAAGAGAAGGTGATGAATTGTGCGTTCGTGCAAAAGGCTTTCTATAGTTTCGTGCACTCCCGTAAACGTGGAACTTGAATTTCAACTTGTTTTCACAGTAATACGCATTTATTTGGACACGGTCGTGAAGTTTCTGCCGTCCACGTGCATACCATTGCAGCATATTGTAAGATCTACTCGCGTGGACCAAATGTAGACGCGACTATTAGCCGAGTGGAAGCTAAAACGTTTGTTAAGAAAAAGGTTTGTCATTCATATTCCGGCACGACGATTCCGTAGGTAATATCTTCTTTGGCTTAATCGCCTTGTTGTCGCAACAGAAGTTCTGCTGAAAATTTTCCACACAGGTTTGGTTGCTTGGAAGATTGATTATTTAGTTGGATTTCTCTTCTGTATTCTGTTCGCACACCACAGAATATATATGCGTGGCAGTCGTATATAAATCCCAAGTATGCTGTGGCTATCACGATAGGAAAACAAGGTATCTTGAAAATTGGTCGCCTTTATGCCGGAGCGGTGTGCCATCACTACAATCGTTGAAAATTCGGATGTCTTAAATGAGCTGCGAAGCTGTAAAGTGCGTGGTGGAGCGTTGAGTTAACAATTTCTTAAATTAATTAACAATAATCAGTTAATGTAAAAAATGTTATTAATATATAATATTAATTATAAATTACAAAAAAAAGCTTAGGTAATGGATAAAAATTTGGGAGGCACCGGCGGGTGTCTACGTCTGGGTTCAGATCTAGGTGTTCGGGGTTTCTAGTAGACTTTGGCGAAAACCTATTCGCTTTTTGGATTATTGTGGAACGCACTAAAAAGCGAAAATTGTGTATTTGAGCGTTTCCACAGATAACCTCGTGCATTGACATACTGCGCAATGACGAAAATCTGTATATTCATGGAAAGGAAATAATTTATATTAGGGTGCATCAGGCGGCCGTTTGGATATTAAAGCCATTTCTGGCAGGTATCGAAGTAGTACCATGTAACGGGATCGTATCCTCTGCAGCGCCGTTGCCAGATATCCTGGTCTTTGTAATGTTTGCACGTGACCATCGGTTGCACTGATTTATGGCTAAAGCCATTGGCAGGATCAGCCAGCAATTGTAATCCGTTAGGAGTCTATGTTCGCCGTTATATGACAGCATTTTCTATCGCAACGTTTCGGCAGTAACAGCAGTAAAATCCAATTTATTAGCTTAGCACTGAATAGAGAATCGCATTGATACCTGCAAAGGGTGTCTTTAAATACGTTTAAATTAAGTTATAATCGCCGCTCGCAAGACAAAATAGGCTACACGTTTTTTTACTGTACCATTTAATAATTCAAATACTTAATTGGAAGCGTGTAACACTTATTTACCTCAAAACTTTAGATTCACTCACGAACTAGGGTTTATTCGTGTACGAAGTTTTGCCTGATTTTTGGGAAACATTTCAGACACAAGCGACGATCACGGTACAACGTCTTCCACCGGGTGCTGTCCCTGCCGCTCCTGCCTTCTACGGCGATGGAAATTATGAATACAAGGAAGGTAGGTTTTTCGTATTCGTTACCATTCCTCTCGTTTGAATGTTTGGCGTTGACCTTATCAGTACGCGTTTTCTTCATCTTATAGGATCAATTAATGCGCACTAGCAGCTACGAAAACTCCTGAACTAGTCAACTGGGTTCAATTTGTTTCTCGTTTCCCCAGCCCAGAAACACACAAAGACGTATGCCAAAGGTCGGTTCGGCTACGTGTTAAAACAATGGAAAATTCAAGCTCACCCTGTAAAATAGTTACGGCGGAGAAGGCAATCAGCGTCACCTCTATTCGTTGTGTAACGTTACCGTCAAAACAGATCCTTACGTAATTCGGCTTTTTTAAAGATATTATAAGAAATTTTTTGCTCAATATGCTTTATTTGGTATTCCGCCAGGTGTGTATTGAAAGCTACTGGTTTTCTATCGGAACTGTTCTACCTTCTACTTAGTCGTTCTTATCGTGATCGGCGGTTTTAGAGGATTGTCAGTAGCTATATTGGTCTTCATACATAATCGTGCCTATGCACCTAGTTCAATCAATTGCATGTTTAAGTAAAAGCGCTATTTCAGTTTCACCAGAGCAAACGATTCCTTTACTAAAGAGACAGGAATGTTGAATATCGATGCTTCATCTTTCAACTACTACTGAGCAAAGGGAAGTGCGAATAATCGTTTAGGGATACCCCCAAATCCGAACGTTTTACGTATCTGCATTCTAAATCGCAGATAATCCAATAGGTACTGCGAGGTTAGAAATCTAAAAATGACAATATCGCATCAGCTTTATTTCAGTTCACGTGTAACGTGTGTGGATTGCGTATCTATCTTAGTTGATACAATACTGGCCCTTTCTCATTAAATAGCCTCAACTGAATAGAAAAGCTAAGCTATTTAATAATAAAGAGCTAGAATTGTAAAGATAGGTACGCAATAAATATAATGTGCCCGAAAGCATTGTAATGACACGGGATTGTACTGCACAATGTCGTTTACCCGCCTACATCATCTAGATTTCAGGACTATTCTGCCATATTGGCTACTGTGAATAGAAACGCTGAACATAAGCGATAGTTGCGCTGAACGATTTGCTGGAAATGACACTACACCAAGTCAGAGGATAAACAATGGAAGACATTTTCGTTTCTTTTGAAGAACCCCTATTTGGTGTCATCGCGAAACTTCTAAAAGCTTTATTCTAACGCCAAGACTTGCTTAAACAAAGTAATGAGACAAAAAATATCGTTATTCGTAGCGTTCCAAAATGACATCTTCGCAATAGAACTTTAGTAAGGACTGATTTGATCGTACATCTACAAACCCTATAGGCAGGGCCTGGAATGGAAAACACTGGAATTGAGGGTCTGATGCTTAACAATGTGGACTCTACATCAACACCAAAAGGAATATCTGATCAAATAAGCAAATATCGGGGAACAGAAGGTCTAAAAGGACCTTTCCAGCATTTCCTAAAGATAGAAAATCCAAAGGATTTTAAGCGTAACGAGGAGAAAAGCTCAAAAGGGAAAGAGGGTTAGTTGGCATTACGTTTGCTGCAAATATTCGTTTCGGTAAAGTATAACAAAGGTAAAATAACATACGTTATAGGAAAAAGAGGCGCGGGTAAAGCCCGCATACCCTTTGACCTGCCTTCTATTAAAACTCTCTGCCTGCTTCTTTGCCTATCCGACTAAAATCGACCGACTAAAATTGTTGAATTAGGCTTATTTCTAGTGGGTCGCTAGAATAAAGCTGCGCGCAATATAGAGCCGATTGGATGGGTACTTTTTAACGAAAAGTTTGTTTTTTAATAATAAAGCGGTGGCGGAATGTTTACATAAATGCCTATGTAGACAGGGTTAGTCTTGGCACCGTTCTAGCCGGGCTGAATTAAAATGCAATATATATCTCTATATAAAACTGCGAAAACCCTATTGGTCGTATCGGTTTGTCTATGCATTAATGGGGTGAAAAAATGCGCTTCGAGTGGTTATCTAAGTTAATTTCTAATAGATGCCAATTGGAAAGTTTAAACCGCAAATGTAGATTTGATTTTCGTGGAAAAATTTTTTGCAAACCATTTTCAGAGAAAAAGAACTCAAAATATTAAGAAAAATATACATTTTCATTATTAAAAATATAAATTTTTATAAAAAAAATTAAGTAAATTTTTACTACGAGAAAACTAAAATATGAAAGCTCTTCAAATTTTGGTGATGCCTTTGAAACATAATCCTATGAAGGTCGTCCTTTCATCTATGTGCCACTGAAACTCTTGTCTATCTGTTTGTCTATCCGACCTAGATCGACTTTAATTGCTGGGGTTGGACTGATTTTGCACGAACGTGGAATTGGGTGAATGCTTTTTCACTGGTGAGTCTTTGTTTTATCGACTCATATAACATGTTAATTTGGCCAAACAGACTATTTCTTTAGCCTTTTCATATTTGCCCCTTTTAAGGACTTTTCCAAACATTTCTCGTGCCTATGAGGAAACTGGAGGAGTGAGGATTTCAACTGAGTAACTTTTTCTACTAAAGAAACTATAGCCGAATATTTACATGGATATCTCTATGCGAAGGGTCGTTCTTAACCAATTGAAGGCTCTTGAAAATACTATCTAGTATTAGCTAATTCCAAATTTGCGTTTCTACACGAAGTAATGACATCCCAATTTAAAATCGCTGAACGCCAGGCGAAGCTTGTAAGTAGACCTGATTATTATAGACTTTCCCGGTCGCGCCTCGTATGAAACGACCATGTGGCATCTAAGAACCTGCCCCAACAATAGCCTTTTTCCTTCTATATTCCTGGAACTCGATCTATACTGAATATAAGTACGCCTATTTATCACAGCAGGCCGTATCTGTTGCTTCGACCTCTAGTACTGTGGTTCTAAATTACCGACATGTCCATTCTTACAGTGTTTTCTGCTTTTTTATCCACACTTGTTCTTTGTAGGTAGACGAGAAGCGAACGCACCACTTCAACAAACTAAACTATTCTATACGAATCCAATATTATATTCATTACTAAAGTTTTATAAATATCCAGGTGCTCCAATATACTAAGTAGATACGAGTTCTTTGCGATTTATCCCGAAAATTTTGTTATTTCAACCACTTATATTACGTAAGACCCACGGGCTACAGACATTTAACATACATGCCATTTTCTTAAAATTTTTTAATAGAAAACAAGTGCTGTTTTTCGGTAAAGAAAACTGTGGGAAAGGCTGCTTACGGCACTAAACAGACATTAAGACTAGGCCCAAAGCAACGCCCAAACTGTGGGTATTTAGAAATTTGATTAAGACTGGTATCGATTTGAATTATTCTAGTATACGCCAAAGATTAAATGTAATATTTTTAAGACGTGCAAATATTAAAGAGCAATGATATGTGTGTCGATCCGTGTTTTCTTTTAAACTTTGTGTTTGTAAATGCAAAAAGTCGTCGCCAATCCTTCTTTCTTATGTAAGTTCGGAAAGCTTACTTCTGAATCCTAGACAAGAGCTGATATATTGTGCGATGCGAACATCTCTTTTATCCGCAGCATATCATCAGATGGGCATACCTTATGCAGCTGTCTAAGTAGAAACATTTATTTGTTACTTCGGTTGCTCTGCAATTACATAGTTTATATTGTTACGATGCCTCATATGCAAGTGTAAAGATATAGTGTGAAAAAACAAAGAGGAAATTCACTCTTCGGGGCGCTTCGAGCTGCGAGGCCTATTTTAGAAACAGCCGCTAAGGAAAACGTACAACATTATAAATAATGTTTTTCTTCTTATAAATAAACATATGAGCTGGTTTCATTTTCTAGTATATGCGCCCACTGAAATCTCAAACTAAAATTCTATATGACACAAGAAAACTCTGCTAGCGGCCGAGCATCCGAATTCGAAATTGTTCAACCAAAGAATATACAAATAGGCTTTCTTCGGTCATTTGGGGTGCGCAATTTTTGTAGCATTTAGTTCAAGATTCACTTGTTTAGTTATATGTAGGTACTCAAACTATTCAAACCATAAAACTATGGTCTATTTTAAACTTAAAATCTCTATAGATAGACTTTTTGATACAGGCGCACTCAATATCGGCATCACTACCTGTTTTGACTGCTGCTCGGAAATTGCTTGAATATAAAAATGAAATTTCTCTGAATGGTCCATTTTGACTAAAGATATTACTAAGTTTTCGGTAAATGGCTTCGAAGGCCTTTCGTCCAATCATGGACCATTCATCCCAGAAAAGAAGTGCCGTCGTGCAAGATAAATTTATTGTTGGACTTTTCTGTGCATTGCGGGCTGCGTTTTGTGAAATGTGAATGAGAATGTTGAATCGTGAGTGATTAGTTCGGCCATTGGGCATCAGAGTTGCCATGATTCCTGATGATGTTAGTCTGATAGCCATATTTTCATCCCTGGCTACGGTTAGTTAGTCGTAAAGGATTTGCCTATTCTTCCTGAGCCGTCGACAAAAGTAACTGAGCTGCAGCTTCATTCTAGACAATTGCAAACATCGCTCTAGGGTTAGTTATCTTTGTTGCTTATTTAAAAATGGCGCGCAGGTATTTATGCTTTTGTCATATTTAGTAATGTCATATTGCAGTTTCTGGTGACGTCAATCTTTCAATTTCCCTGGTGCTGACCTTTGGGGGGCAAGCAGATTAAAATCTTTTTATTTTTTGTTTGGGCCCTTCAATTTGACCTGAAGATATGTAAGAGCTTCATCACAACGGATGTAAGCGATGAGAAGAGTTATGTCGTTTTCGAAGATCATTAGAGCGATTGTTTTAAATAAGTTTCGCAGGTTTAATGAGTTGGCGACTTCTCCTATCATTCACATAATCTCAAAGGGACCATGAATCGGCAAACGTATTTAGGCTTGTTCGGAGTCCATGATCTTCTGCAAACGGTTGTTGTCAAAAAGTAGCTTTTTAAGTAAGCAAACTTGTTTGAATATTGCAAAAGGGATACTCTCACGTAGTAGAACGATAAGCATT